AATCCTTTAATTGCGTTTACATATGACCTCGGAGATTTTGGGAACTCGTCTATAAATTACGTCCCCCTGCCCATTGAATTTATTGAATAAATGTGTGCGAGAATGTCGCGTCCCGTCAAAATCGCGCTTCTGCTGAGTATTTTTGGTTGCACCCATGCAGGGAGGCACTTAAAATTATATTAGAATTTTTTTGTATAGGTTAATTTAAAATTTCCGTTTTGAAAGAAAGGTGGGTCCTACAGGAATGTTACGGTATAGTTACTGGAAAAAATACAAGTACGAGTTGACTCAATGTTTGAAAATAAACAGTTTGGTTGCATCTCAGGTACTGTCGATGGATGTTGACAATACTCAAGTTAATTGAGATTCGGCAAAAACTACCGTATCAGATATTTCTCAAACATTTTAAGGAGACCAAGAGTTAATATAAGATTTGAAACTCAGAATATGTCATTAGGGTAACGGCAGGAGTCGAAAGCATTTAACGTTGCAGGGACATATTTGTCAGATCTGGAATAATCACGGCTCCTACATCTATGAGCTTTTAATTTATTTGAAATCAGATTATGTGACATTCACGGCACTGAGCAGCCAATGACCTTACGTGACGAGGAACTCTTTAGTTCTGCAAATCCCTGCACATACAGGTAAGTTATACATAACAGAAACTGGCCTAAGGTATATGGGCACAAAATGTCTTAACAACCTGCCGTCGAGCGTAAAGGACCTCCTCACATCGGTATTTATAAAAAGATAAAAACTATTTTGATATAAAAGAGTCAGTCAGTCAGCAAATATCTCAGCTATTTTAACTATTTTTGTTTTACTTGTTTATGCATTTTAACTATTTATTCCCATTTTCAAACTGCTTCTGTCACACTGTATTTTGTTGATTTGAACCTTTTTTTAATGAATGTATGGATTCTTGGAAAAGATCATTGTCTGCAGTAACATTCAGTATTTTCACTTTCAAGGTTAATTTACGATCAACTTTATTTTTTTTTTCAAAACAGAAAGCTCTGTTTTGGTGCCAGCAATCGAAAGAACAGAAATTTTACGTTCAGACACAAGTCCAAGATCAGAATGATTACTAAAGGTCAAATGTGTATTGCAAGGAAAATACAAATTTCACAGGATGAGTGATGAAAATAAGTATCAAGGTCAGGTTTGTAGTAAATTTTGACGAGTGATCTTGGATTTGACCTTGAATAAAAATTCAGCGTAATTTCAAGGACAATTTTTCCTTCATATATAAACCCACAGGAATAGTATCAGTTAGAAATCATATGTAACGAGCACCGTAGTTCGCTCGCTAAAACTTACCCAAAGATCTGACCTTGCCAGTTATTTTCGTCACTATTCATGTTGGTTTCCTAGAAGCACATATTTGGCTTTTATGTGACCTCTAATGGTCACCTTGATCCTGGATTCTAATGCACATTTGAACATAAAATTTCCAACACTCTGGATTAACGGCATCAAATAGGTGCTTCTATTTGGAAAAATAGAGTTGACCTTGAAATTGTCTTGAAGGTGAGGTTCAAGATCAAATCCTACTTGTGAAAATTTACTAAAGATCTGACCTTACCAGTTAGTCAGGATCTCTGCGAGATTTCCAGGAGTTTTTCTATCAGCATATATTTGATCTTTATTTAACCTGTTTGACCTCCAGCGGCCATCTTGATCTTGAATTTCAGTACATATTCAAATGTAATATTTTTCGCTTATATTATTAAGTTGACTTCGGGTAAGTTTTAACGAGGATACCCGATACTGTTCCTGCGGGTTTTTATTTGGAAAAAATTACCCGGAATGACCTTGGAGGTGAGGTTCAAGTTCAAACCCAGGATCACCTGTTAAAATTTGAAAGAACTGACCTTGATTGTTTTTTCATCGCCAACACTGTAAGATTCATATTCGTTTTCCTAGCAGCGTACACTTGACCTCCACTTGACCTTTATTGGTCACCATGACCTTGGACTTCAATTTGTGCTTGGACGTAAAATGTTCGTCACTTTCGATTAGCGATATCAAAAATAGAGATTTTCATTTAAAAAATGGAATTTACCTTGAAAGCACTTTGAGGGTGAGGATCAAGGTCAAATCCAAGATCATCGTTCAGTTCTTCGTTAACATTTACAAAATATCTGACTTGACAGTTGTTTGCATTGCCAATCCTGCGAAGTTTTTCCTAGCAGCACTCATTTGACCTTTAGGTGACACCCTGACCTTGGACTTCAACTCGCGATTGAACGAAAATTTTTCGCTCTTCCGGCGAGCAAGAAGGGATCTTTATTTAAAAAATAAAGTTGACACAGAGAAGACGGCAAAGGTAGAATCCAAGGTCAGCGTTTATTTCCTCGTTAAAATTTACTAAAGGCCTGATTTTGATAGCTAATCATTTAGTGAGATTTATAGAGGTTTTGGTTGTGCTTGAACGTAAAATTTTCTGTTGTTTCAAAAATAGAGGTTTCTATTTGAAAACTTAAAGTTGACCACGAACTAACCTGGAAGGTAAAGGTCTAGGTCAAATTGAGGGTCACCGTAGAATTCCTCGTTGAAAGTAACTAAAGACCTAGAACTTTTTCAAAAATACCTTACCCGAAAAAATAAAGAGCCGTTCAGGAATTTCACTTAATTGCCATGTGATCATGACATGATCAATATCATTATTGAATGATCAACTGAATAAGTACCCATCTATCAATGGTTGTCACGCTGATCAATATCCAAGTTCTGCTGGTTACATCTGTGACTTAATTTGGCAAACAGCTAGACAGATAAGTGCTAAGAGTGATTGAACGGGTAAAACATTAATTATTGTATTTTTGTACTACCCTGTCTAATTTATATGAATATCATCTACTCAAATATCAACACGGTAAACGGTGTACAGCATATGGTGTTTCATTTTACCATCCATAACCTTGAATTCATCAAATGGTTTAGACACAATGTTTTATGAAAAGTTTATTTTTGTTGTGTTTCTTCTAATTTTCATTTGATATCAACACTGTGGACGAAAATACAACTAGATTTCTTAAAACTTTGATACTCTTCCCAAGAGAACAAGTTCGTCAGGGATTACATCAATAAAGTGCCTAGTACAATTTTTATAAGTCATGCACCACAATGCAAAACACTTTTCAGATGAGAAAAAACACACCAGTGGAAAATGCAATAGAATTCCACTAGAATTAAATTCATTCCCTCCCGCCATAATCTAGTATTTGGGTGTACACTTCTAGTCTTCAAAATCTTATGATACGGACCTCTGCCGTATCGGCGTTTGGTAACAGAATAAATAAATAAACCTATAAATAACGCCAAGCCGGCGGCGCGATGGTGTCACAATGGCCATGAAATTGTTATTTGCCTACCTGACCGCTATGGGCCTTATTTATAGGTGGACAGGGATGACCCAGCCGTGACAATCATTTATCCATGGACGTCTTGATTCCTCTTCAGAGCGTCGCGCGATGTTTGGGTCACATACGTTAACCTGACGAGATTAGAGTCTGTTCTATTGATGTCTTATGATTCCATTGTTATGGTTTATTATCCTTCTTAAACAGAGAGTTGGGAGCGGTCGCAAATACAAAAGGTGCTATGAAAGTTTTGCAATACTGCTTTATTTATTGACTTCGTTCAAAGTAATTTCCACCACATTCGATAAATACACTCCTCCATCCCCCAAAACCAGTCCTTAAATCAGCTCTGCCAAGATTCTCAGAAGTGACAGAAAACAGCATTAGCTAGGGCTCTTTATGCTTCTGGTGCTCCTTTTTCTCTTTTCAAAAACAAATATTGGGAACAGGTTTTTAAAATGTTACGACCGTCATACCAAATACCTAGCCCTTACGCCCTGTCAACAAACTTACTTAATTCCGAGGATGAACGTGTGCAGATAAACCGAAGTCAAAAGCTTTCTGAATCCGATAGTTTATCAATAGTAACAGATAGTTTGACAAACATAGTCGGAGATGGATTCATCAATATTTTATATGCACGCCTATACCTTTATTTTACAAAACTGTTCATCGCGGCTTTGCAAAAGAAACGGGAGCGTATATAAGTAATGAACTTATCAAAGTTATTCAAGAAATAGGGCCACACAATTTTTTTCAATAGTGACTGAATGCGAGCAATATGAAAGCTGCTTGGCATATTATAAATACAACATATCCTCATATATCTTGTGTTGGTTGTGCAGCTCACACTCCGAATTTGCTACTAAAGGACTTTATGAAAGAAAATTTGTTTGAAAAAATAAGTAGAGTCTAAAAAAATTTGTAAATGATTTAAACAGCACCACATACTTTATGCTGCATTTAAAGAAGCACAGGCCGAAAAATACCCAAAAAATAAAGTAATTTCCCTTCAAATTACCTGCAAAACTAAGATGGGGTTCTCTGTTTATAACTGTTGATTCGCTTTCAAGAAATAAGGAAGCTCTGCAATGTACTGTATTAGTGGAAAACCTGAATGTAAAACAAAATACTAAAAAAGTTGTATTGGATGATGCGTTCTGGCAAAACCTACAATATACTAAACAAATCCTGCATCCTGTATCAAATACGATAAATTTAGTAGAATCGGATAGATCTATATTATCAGACGTGCCTTTTGGCTTTAAGTATATAAAATACACAATATTAGATATTCCCCAACAAGTTGACCTGACTAGTTCTCTTATCGAAAGCTTGCTAAAATATAATGAAGAACGCTACGAATTTTGTTCTAAGCCGATTCACTTTGCAGCCAATCTTCTTGATGCTCGCTTTAAAGGAGAACAATTGAATGAAGACCAACTAATGGAAGCAATAGACTTCATTTCTGAAATGGCTCGTTCACTAAATCTAGATGTAGGGAAGGTGGTGGCAAATCTAGCTCAATTTAAAACAAAAACTGGATTTTTTAGTCGAAATTCTTTATGGGATAGTGCGAATCGTACTCATCCCGTTATATGGTGGCAAGGTTTGTGTACATCGCAGCCACTTATGCCAATTGCCTCCCGAATTTTAAATGGACCGCCATCTTCCGCCTCTTCAGAAAGAAACTGGTCTTTACACGGCCACATACATACAAGCAAAAGAAATAGATTATCACAGGATAAAATTCAGAACCTGGTTGCTATTCATTCTAATTTGGTTACAAACGAAAAACAGACATTCATTTACGATGCTAGACCAGTTCCACTTTTAGAAGACACTGGCAAAGATTATGCTGTTTTGTCCGTCCATGAAGACGAAGCGGAGATCGAGTATGAATCAGATGCTTAGTCTGAAGATTCAAACTCAGACTCAGATGAAAATATACCTCTGAGCGCTTTGGTTAAATAATGTGTTTTCCAGCTTTGTTTTTGATACTTTCAATTATTAGATAATAATTATAATTTGACCCTATTCATGTATATATTTATATCTTAGATATTAATAGATATTATTAAAGTATGTTTTTTGTATTTATTTTTACAACACAATTGAAAAATATTTAAATTTTCCCATTTTTTCCAATTTTTCCCATGGTCTGGAAAAAAACGGAAAAAACGTGTTTTTTCCTAATTTTTCCCGTTTTTTTCCGATATGTTAAATCTCTACTCAAGATAAATCTACATTCCTAAACAATCCCAGCAGTGATCGTAAGTAAGAAATGCGATTTGCTTATTGGAAAATTACTGACATCTATAGCTGCAACAGTAGGATTGTGGAGACGCTATTAATATCATAATTTATCCTCCCATTAAGCTGTTCAATCCATGCATGAGTCAAATAATGTTCCTACTGCCCTCGAGATAGCCTGCACATTAGATCGGTTGGTAAACAAAACCTTCTCACATCAATTCTTAAAAAATAAAAAAAAAATTTTCGAGGCTTCGCGAGTCCATGCAGATCGTTTTCCAAGATCCTTACACTTTTTTTCTAAGAACGGTGACTATTTTTTCATTTATTTTTGTTCACCTTTTCGCTGTTGCTTGCTCACACATTAGCTTTGCCCCAACTGTCAGCACACTCTGTATGATGACATTGCCAGAACCACATGATGGTGTCGTTCTATGAATTGATTGGTTCCACTCAAAAGAACACCTGAGACTGATTCGACAAGGTCCGCAACCCTTTTGAAACGAAAAAATACATTAAATTCCACCATGAAAAACCGACATCCTACAACCTCCAGAACGAGTGGGCTGAGAGAAACCGTTGCACCTGGAAACAAGTTGTATAGTATGCATACGATGTATATGTGTATGCATAGGACATGTGTACATTGTTTGGACCCGTTTTCGGTCTCGTAACAACGCTGATAATCAAAGCAGATATGAGGTTTGCATACAAATGGAACGGCTATACCGTAGAGGTTCATTTCTATACGTACCAAATAATTATTCAGATGAATTTCGAGATACTTTCAGAACGAGTTTCCTAGTAAGCGGATCAGAAAGCTCACGTGATAACAATGCAAATTCACAACATGAAAAAGCTTACTCTTTCGTCGTGTATCTATTTTTCTACACGCTAGAACGTCACAATTGTGTTCTTGGAAAAGTTGATGATACATGGAATATCTTGGGCATTGATTTTATAAAAGCTCACATCGCGGCATCGTGAAGCGATCTAAGAAACAAGCTTTCAGAAAGTTCGTATGAGAATTTAAATATGAGTGTCAGCGAATTATTGGTCCACCTGGTAAAACATAATTTTTGGTATCATACACGTTTCCGTTGATTTAGTTTATGGCTTTTCTTTGACAGCAGTTTTCCATGTCCACAATTCTTGAGTGCAGGTTTCAGAAATACGGCTCCAGGAAATGGTAGAGATCCACGCTCACTTTCTCTCAGTCTTTCTATTCTCGTATCCCATATGTCAAGTGTATGTCGTAATTAAGCTCTCCGGCCTGCATAGTAGGAAATCGGCGTACCAGAGTTAAATATTTGCAAGATAATCGGCAGTATGTACATACCGAATGATCTGGTGGCTGCTCAATTTGAACTCTTGAGATGAGAATGAGATAGGTAGAGAATTTCAAAATGCGCATCTTATATGCTAATTAATTTAAAATCGTTCATTCCGTTTGCAGATTGTAGAGGCGACTGCTGATTGAGCCTATAGACGACACATCATCATCTGAACCTGAGCCATCGCTAGCAGTTGATATGATTATTCATTGGTGCTTTGCATATTTAGTGTGTAACCTGATTCATACAATAAGTTACAAAGAGGGACTAGCAGTACATTAGGTCAGAAAATTATTGTCCCAATATTGGTCTTTGAAGATGAACTATTTATGAGCTTAAAGCTCTGTCTTAAGGGTCTAAGTCTACGTTTTATCAAATTTTGATGCTCTTGTTAGATCACATACCTCTTGTAAAAACGATCGAGTTATTTAATCCATGGTCACTACCGGTACTTTTCGTCAATTCCTGCTATTTCTGTAGTTAACCCATCTACCACATTCGAATAGACGGCTAGAAGGATCCTCCTCATCGTTGCTCAGATTGCATACTCTCTTTCCTATGCTCTTCATGTAACTGTTAAAAAAAACATGTCATGTGAAGAATTGTACAGTACAGTATCCGCACTGCTTCCTTGTCGAACTAGATTTTGATATCTGGGATCATCCTTCTGGTCTTCGCGGAACTACCAGCTATATTTAATCTCTTCCGCCATCTGACAAAAAGCACCTCTCTTTCGTCGCGTCTAGATTTGGCGCCCTTTTGTAGCATCTGACCTCATTGGCGGGATACCAGCTACCACTTCGCTGGCTTTTGGGCATTGCTAGTTGTTTTCATCGCAGGTAGTATCTGAAACTTCATCGTAGAACATGTTCCAAAGCAACGGCCCTACGACGGAGCCCTGCGGCACTTATATGGTTACTTTCCTGGTCCTTCCTACTAAGACAACTTCCTATCATGTTTCATAGATAGCTAGGGGTGCCTCACTTTTCAAGAAATTCGATGCTTTTCTGTCATTGTGCCATGCTGAAGGCATTCCTAACATCAAAGACAGTCTACTTTATATCAGTCCTTCTAGTAGCTTTCCAAGCAAACCTGGCACACACGGAGGTCTATGTTTCATTCCCCCATCCTTGGAGTTCAGAGGCTCGAATACCAAAGTCAGCAATCGGAAACACTCCGGTTGCCAAGCATTCATCCATCACAGGCATCACGATTTCATTTGAAATTCAGTCTGGTCCTGTTTCCAAGTTCGTTACAGCTTTTTCCAGCTCACCTATGGTGAACTCTAGTATATCCAAAACCCGCTCTTTTCTCAGTTAACCGGGATCCCAAGGTTGTCCTCCCACCGAGTACTGATTTGTACTGTAGTTCATAAGAGATTCCAGCTCATTGAGTCTTTCTGAGTAAGCCTCTATTGCTATGTTTGGAGAAATATACTAAGTGACATATAAATGGTTTTATTTTAATAAAAGTTGGTGAATGTATTTATCTTACTGTAAATAACAAGTGAAAAAATTTTCAGCCTTATCAGTTGCACATTCCGGTTTTTATACTGCTTTTTTTTAATTCACTAATGCTCAAAAAATGAATATTTCAGCCGCAGTAAAGAATCAACGTTGGCGGATTTTGGTTCTTGACATCCTTTACAATCGGTTACGATGCCTAGAGTACGGAGACCTGGACGATTTCGTCAACTTAGTGAGTTTGATAGGGGCCGTATAGTGGGACTTCGGGAAGCTGGACTTTCTTTTCGGGCAATTGCAGTTAGAGTGCAAAGAAGTGTATACACTGTGGTTAGGTGTTGTCAGGCATGGCTTCGAGAAGGCCGTACGCAAAGAGCAAGGGGCACTGGACGCCGCCGTAGAACAACAGACCGTGAAGATCGCCACCTAAGATTATTGGCCTTGAGGGACCGTTTCTCCACTATCAGGTCCATTGCAAATGAATGGTTTGCAGAACACGGAAGACCTATTGGCATGCGAAGTGTTTACCGACGAATGAGAAGTTTTGGCTTGTTTTCATACCAGCCACACTGGGTCCTCCCCTTAACTCGAGAACACCGACGTAATCGCCTTGAGTGGTGCAGACAACGGTCACTCTGGGATCAGGAATAGAACAGTATTGTCTTTAGTGACGAGTCTCGATTTTGTTTAGGCATGCACGATGGTCGTGCCAGGGTTAGAAGGCGACGTGGTGAAAGGAGGAATCCACAGTTTTTCGTTGAAAGACATGTTCATCACACTGTTGGAGTTATGGTTTGGGGTGCTATAGCTTATGGTTCCAGGTCACCTTTAATCTTCATCAGACGTAACATGAACGCGCAGCGTTATATCCACGAAGTTCTAGAACCCCATCTTTTACCCTATCTTGACACCCTGGCAGATCCAACTTTCCAACAAGATAATGCCCGACCACATGTTGCAAGAGTCACAATAGACTTCTTTCAACATAATGATGTCACATTGTTACCATGGCCACCAAGATCTCCTGACTTATCCCCAATTGAGCACGTGTGGGATATGATGGGTAGGAGATTGCTCAATTTGTAACGTCCTCCTCAGACGGCAGAAGCACGAGAGGAGTTGGTGGTTGCCTGGAATGAGATACCACAGGAGGACATTGACTACCTGATCTGAAGCATGCCTAGGCGCGTTGGAGAATGCGTAGCACATCAGGGTGCATCCACACATTATTAAAGGTCAAAGGGCTTTAAAGCAGTGCAATCATTTTGAAATTTTTATCATTTACTTATTATGCTTCATTAAGTACTTATACAAATTTTTTTTAAAATAAAACCATTTAAACTGGGTGTTCGGATTTATATGTCACTTAGTATACATACAAAACAAAATACTTCTTAAAAGCTTAATTATGTCATTGACAATTCTGTTAAAACAACATTGAGTTATAAGAGCAATAATAAAGCAATTATAAAATAAAAAAGCATGGACAGTTGAACAACATAAAATACATTTGCTAGTTGGGTGTGGCAGATGGTAAACATGCAAAAACGTATCTTCATTAATCTCGAATCCTACAAAGTCGAACGAGTGACTTTTCGGCAAAGCTTGAATTGTACTGTCATATCTCAGAAGCAAGGAGAATAATTCTTGATATTCAGTGTATGCTTGTACGTATGTCATTAAAGTGAGGTTGCCTAAGGAGCATCTTCAATATATTTATGTCATTGTTTTGATTGAGGGCATGCTACGTTATATCTATAAGATTTTTCTTGTTTTCTTCCATTCACGGTCATCCCTCAATCTAGTTGATGAGCTGCATCGTACACGGACAGCTGTCTGCAGTTGTATGTATCTTATTAATTTA